CCCACTCCAAATCCCAGATGGAAAGAAAGAAAAAAAAATCAGTGGTGGGTTTGAGGAAAGTATAGTGCCACGTGTAGGTGGGTTTTTTTTCCCCTTTCCTCTCCCATCCCCTTGAAAGAAGGAATTGATCTTCATTGTTAACTGATTAACAAAGGATATCTTGAAAGACAAGTTTTTGCCTTGTTCATTTTCAATACCCCTGACATTTAGCACTCTGCCCAGTACATGGGTGTTAAGTCCTTGAGTGAATTCACTAAACGTAAATTTATTTAAAAGAGCAATTTTCCCTGCTCTGTAGAAATTACTCTGTGTATTAATTGGGATATATACAAGTCTCTCCAGGTAAAGGCCTTTTTGTTTGCTAAGACATTGTCCTTGAAGCAGCTGTCAATAGGTTTGAGCAATCAGAGATAAAAACGTGTTAACCACTGTTTACCATTAGCCCGTTGTCGCCATACTAGGGTTGAGGGAAGGTCTTTTAAAATTCATAACCAAGACATTTCCCAAACTTTAATCATTTTTTCTCTTCTCAGTCATTACCTAAGTACTATACTTATTTGGGTAGGTTTATTAAGCTCTTCATAGGTCTTGGAGCTGAAGGGTAAATATTTTTGTTCCGTGGACGTACTTGAATAGAGAGCACTCGAAAGCCAGCACAGTGCTTTGGGAGGGTGTCACGGTACAACTAGGTGTACAGCACAGTGACTGAACAGGGAAGGGGCAGCTCAGCACCCCAGGTTACAGTATTCAGAGAACTTTCTCCTCTTCCCATGCCCAGCGCCATATATAATGCTGAGCCCTGCAGTCTTTTGAACTGGTTTTAGGGTAAGACTGTGGAGATGCAAGAGCAAGAAAGAAAAGCCCCACTCAGTGGTCAGAAATGAAACTTTTGAGCTTAAGATGGTCATCAGAAATTCAAAAACTGCTGTAACTCGTCACTGATTCACCACAGTTCTGCGTGCTGAAAAAGGTCTTTTCAAAGTTCTGTTTACATTTTCTTAAGATGTGTCCAGGAGAGGTTTCAGGACTGAAGAGTTTTTGCTTATTCACAGCAAAGCAGGCTTTCAGTGTTCTTTACTATTCCAGTTGACCTGACCAGAGGCTGGCGGGTTTAGTGCAGTCCTGCATCAGACTGCATCTGAAAGATGACTTGTGTTTTGTGGAATCCACACATCAAACAAAAAGGGAGATGAGAGGTGATCTTTTTCCCTTGATACACTGTAAAAATTGGGGTGGTGCCACCTCTGCTTCCTGTTGATGTATTATTTTACAGTGCTGGTCCCAAAGGTGATAACATCTATGAGTGGAGATCGACCATCCTCGGGCCCCCAGGATCCGTGTACGAGGGTGGTGTGTTCTTCCTTGATATCACTTTTACGCCTGAGTATCCCTTCAAACCTCCAAAGGTAAGAAATTGCCCTCATCAGTACTAAAAGTTATATATTTCCATAAGAGACCACTGAAGCTTTCAAAATTGAGTTTTTAATCATAAAAAGTAGATTTCTATTACCTTAATGAATCTTTAAGTACATCTGAACGGACACAACACTTCTTGGGGCTGTCTTTGCCTCGTTTGGCAGAGCCCATTTCTAGTCATAGTACCTGTTCGTTTGGTGGCCTTTAAAATTCCTGCTATAACAACATAGTCAGCAACCCAGAATTAATTCCCTATTTTCCACTCAAGAAGTTTTTGAGGAGTTGAAAATGGTGTCAAAATATCCATGCCCTGAGACGATGAGAGGATCAGTGTCCTACCGAGGCCCTGGATTCTGCTCCTTGTCATCTTTGGGTCTCGTTCCGATCCTGACCTCCAGGCTTTGGTTTTCTCCTGTAGGAGAGATGGGAGCTGCCTCAGTCACCCATCTCCTGTGACACGCAGCAATCTGTGATTCTCAGGCACTGTCAGAAGGAAAGACCTTCCCTTGGGTGTGGGGTAGACTGCCACATGCAGGTACAATAACAGCAGCAAGAGGTGATTGAAAGTCTCATTAAGAAGAAAGGTGATAAAGTTATAGGTTATTTTTACTTTGGAATGATTCACTGTGTTCACTAACGTCAGGAGACCAAACAAAATGACCCATGTTCATGCGCCTTGGGTTGATTTATCTAATGCTGTGGTCCTTACAGTTTCTGGCTCCTCGCCTCGCAAGACTACGCTTTAGTGAGTTCTGTGATTTAGGTACACAGAATAGCTGCAGGATCTGATGTAAAGGTCAGAAAAAGCAGAAACAAATCTCATCTTTAAAATTTTTTGACAGCTTAATTGTCTTGTACCCATATGAGTTCATTATTCTGAAGCTTACCTCAAAGCCTGTAGTACTACCAGCTAACACAAGAGGTCAGCAAACAATTAGCTACTCAAAATTGGAAATGTTAGAAAAATATTTGAAACATTGAAACTGCTAAAGATGAATTCGAGAAATATTGAAGTTACCATGCTTTTTGTTGGTAGGTATTACCTTTTAAATGAAATCTACAGTCCCTGAGATTGAGGCTAGAAACTGTTCATTGGTATAAATTTATTACTCTCTTAACCTCTCATCAGCTTTGGTTAAACTTAACTTTATTCACCTTTTAAAAAAACTAAATGTCTGTTTCTTTAGAAGTTGTTGATTAGGGTCATGCAACTGAAAAGGTAATTCAGTTCAGAATTTCATTGTTTGCTGTTTAAATTTTGTTTTAACACTTTTTTTTTTAGGTTACATTTCGGACAAGAATCTATCATTGTAATATTAACAGTCAAGGGGTTATTTGCTTGGATATATTGAAAGATAACTGGAGTCCAGCACTAACCATTTCTAAAGTCCTCCTTTCTATCTGCTCACTTCTTACAGACTGTAATCCTGGTAAGGTTATAATTCTTTTATTATTTCACACCTGATAAACACTTGTTTTCTACATATATTCTAAAGGTACAAATTTTATTTTTGTCAGAGCTTTCAAAGGACAAAAACTTAAAAGCTTTTTAAAAAGAAAGTTTTAATCAAGATAAGTTCAATCTAGTTGAAAAATGTAACTTCTCCATTAATTGATATATTGTAGGAACAAAGTGTGTTTTAAACTGAAGACATATAAGCTTCTCATTCTCCTTCCTTTTGCATATTTCTCATACAGTTCTCTTAAAACAAACCACCTACTTACAAATGTCGGATCATCTGCCTGTCTAACCTTACCCATGCCTGTTGGTTCACTGAGCTCTTGTCCCATAGCTGGGTGCTGAGGGGGTGGTCAGCTCTGAAAGTGACACTTGTTTGGTAAATACTTAGTGATTGATTACCAGACTCTTGATTTTTCCTAGGTAAATCAAAAATAAATTATTAAAGCTTTTATTTAGGTTTCAGAGAAACACTGTATGTAATTGGAGGTCCAGGTTCTGACCTGGCTCTTCCTATGTAACTGTTATAATGCAACAGCCCAAGGACTTCAGTGTCATAGTTGGTGCCATAGAGCGAAAGGTCATGTGAGCACAGCTGAATGTTCACTGTAGTCTGGAGCCTTGGACATTAGCATTTCTATTGAACTTAGCTTAACACACCTAAGAGCAAAAACACGTCCAGTTGGGTGGTGGTGGTTGGGAGAAAAATGGAATGAACTAAAGAGATAAAACCAGACCAGTACTAAAGCCTACTAAAGCCTGAGCATTCTTTGATAAGAATTACTTTCCCCTGCATGCTGTTTTTTTAAAGTCCAGAAGGAAAAAGTAACTAGAATGGTAGAATGGTATTTCAAAGATGATTTTGATTACAAATACTTTGCACATTTCTTCCCAAGCTGTCACTAATTTATTTGCTGACATTTAAAATGTTCTTTTTCTTTCTCCAAAGTAATCTATATTTTTTTTTCTTCCAGCCGACCCCTTGGTAGGAAGTATTGCTACTCAGTATATGACCAACAGAGCAGAACATGACCGAATGGCCAGACAGTGGACCAAGAGATACGCTACATAAATTGAGTTTTCACAATTCTTATTTGTCTGTCACAGAGAGAGCTGCTTATATGATTTTGTGGGGGAGGGTGGGAGTTGGTAAAGAGTAGGGTATTTCTATAACAGATATTATTCAGTCTTATTTCCTAAGATTTTGTTGTAACTTAAGGTATCTTGCTACAGTAGACAGAATTGGTAATAGCAACTTTTAAAACTGTCATTAGTTCTGCTTTATTAGCTGAAATGTAGTACAGAAAGGAATAGACATTTGGGTTCAGTTGCTTGTAGTCTGTAAACTTAAAACAGCTTAATTTTGTACAGATTAAACACATGGCCATTTATGTAAAATCCTTCGAAGACTACACATCTTTTTGTTTTAAAAAATTGGAATTTGTGTTTCCTTTCTTGGAAGGGAACATTGATACCAGTTTTTAGAAACTGTCATCTCATATATATAAAATCGACACGTGGCTGTAAAACACCATGTAGGAAATGTATTACGTATTTTATTTTATATGCCAATCTACTTTATTGTGGAAAGATTAGAGTTTTGAATCAGGACTTGTGAAAACCTGTAGTAAAATACCTTAAGCTGTTAATTGTAAGGCGTGGAATAGGAGTTGCTCAGTGGATTGGTTATGTTGTGGACTACTTAAGTCTGCATTTGTTACTGTGCTAATAAACAATATTAAAACCACCACCTAACACTGCTGTATTCATTCCACTTGCTCTTGCCATTGTAGTTGGCACATTCTTCTAAACTTGACCTAAGACAACCTAGAAGTACTGCAGACTGAACTAGGATTGGTACATTATTTTTATACAACAGTCCTGTGGGGTAGATTTAGAAAAGGATAACTTAACCCATCATCTTTTTAAAAGCATTTTCTAACTTGCAGATGCTATGTGGCAAGTACATGATGGATGCAGCTGTACTAATGAGAACCCAGCTGAGCAGTTTGTCAGTACTAAGGGTAACGAAGTGATTCTAGTTCTCTGTGCTCACCCAGGCGCACAGGGTGAAAGTGCCTATATTCATTACACATGTAAAAAGAATATGGAAAACTACGCAAACTAACAGATCTAAGTTGAATTTATTAGGAAAAAGCAAACTGCTGGATGTAGTGTTTTATTTAAAAGTCAGATGATACATAGGAAAAAAGCTGGATCAATACAAACTGGAAGAGAAGAACGGGAAGGATGTTAGCATATGTTAAGTGATAATTTTTTGACCAAAAAAATGTATTTGTGATGAGAGATTTTTAAAGAACTCTACAGTAGCACTTGCTGATTTGTAAGTTTTATTTACAGCTTTCATATACAGTAGTACTTGACTTGAACTCACTGAACTGAGCCAACTGAGCTTCAAGTGTTGCTTGATGTTAAAATCTATAGATGTTTTAAAATTCCTTGCTAAACACAATTAAAATCATAGCACAAGTGCAGATAAGGTAGATTATCTTGAAGGCTACCTATCATGCAATACTTTTATGATACATTTTATTCCACAGGACTACCTATCCAGAAATCTGTTCCAGAAGGTATAGTATTCTTTGTGGAAAATGAAAGCTTTTCATAGGATTTGTTCTGTGTAGCAGGAGCTCCACAAAATAAAATTTAGCTTGCTTATAGATTGTTTACTGTTTGTGATCCAATTTGGGTGCACAAAAACATGTCATTTTGTAATCCCACAGATGCTTAATGAACTTCTTAAAAATGAAGTTATGGTTGAGCTAGGAAGTTTATATAAAGTTACACAGAAATAGCAGCTTCCGCAACGGGTTAGTGGGGAGTTACTCATAGGTACATCTGCATTCCACCCAAACTTATTACTGTTTTGAGAAGTGCAACAAAAATATAAAGAACAAAGGTACTATTTTCAGGGACAAGTTTCAAGTAACGAAAATGAAAATATTTTACCACACAATAATAATAAACTTAGCCCAAATAATTTAGTTACAACCTAAAGTGCATTAAATTACTTCCTTAGGGGTTTCCTAAGGACCATTTTAAGTATGTTCACAGACTCTGAAAGGCAGTCACTATTGAACAGTGAGATGTCACCGCTTCTTAGTTCTCAGAGCTAGCGTTCCCTTTGTTTTTCCTCCCAGGCAAAGGGAAGCCTGATTTGCTTGGGGGCTGGGAAAGTCTGCTGGCTAACAGAGTGAATGGCTCAATCAGAGTTCTCCGGTCTGTCACTGTGACCTCCCACAGCCGCACCTTCTCACTTTTTGCCCATTGCTGTGCCACTTCAGCATCCACTTGTCTCTGCTCAGAAAGGTCAATTTTGTTTCCTAATACAACAATTGCTACCTGAAAGAAAAATGGATAAAAAGATCACACTTTGGCAACATCAGTCCCTAGACAAAATGGAAAAAGTCCCAATTAAACTCTTTATCATAACCGATTCTCAGGTGTTAGCTGAGGAAGACATTAACCTTGCTTCTCCTTCCTGAGTGCACAACAGGTGAAGTTACGCAACTCAGGTATGAATGGAAGACCTGGGGAAATTAGTATCTAGGATACAGATGATAATCTGACCGAAAAATGTCTATTTTCATACATACTTCAAAATACAAGAGGACTCCCTGGAGCTGGGAGAGTTCTGTACCCCTAAGTTCCTATGAATAGGAATTTTTTCCTATTCACATTATCCCTAATCATGAAGTGCCTGATGCAAGCACTAAATATTTGCTGACTAGAGATGGACAGGAGCATTTCACACAAAAAGCAAGCAATCATTCACTTAAGCTTGAATACTTACTACACACTAGGCACTGCCTAGGACCAGGATGCTGTCTTCTGGAGGCAGTGAGAGCCCAAGGGCCAGGGGGCTGGGGAGAAAGGATGGTGGGGGGAAGGACAGAGAATACCCAGATTTTCAGATAGTGACTATAAAGACAATAAAACAGGATAGGAAAGTGGGGCACAGCAAGAATTGTCAGAGAAGTCACCTCCAAGGGGCAGCTCTGAACTAGGACCTTTGAGCTTTTAAGTTGAGTTCCCTGGGCTCCAATTAAGGCTGTGCCTCTGGCAGGATGGAGGCACAGGCTCCAGAGATCTGGTTTTCTTGGCAAATCTCATACTCATTTCTCGGCAGGAGCTATCTATCTGTTCAAGCCCTCCTGTCTTTGTCACCCAGATTTTCATCTTCATATACAGCCTAGTCTGACCTCCAGTTCCCTCTCCTTCAGTTGCATAAACTGTTCGACTTGCCCCTAGACTTCAACAAATTCTGTCCCCCTACATCCTCGCATCTCTGCTTCAAATGCTCTTCCCTTCTTGCCTCGCTGAAACCCAGCCCAGCTCTGCAGCACTCACACTACCACAGTGGTGGGGTAGGTGTTTGTAAGGGGTCGTCCTTGTCCCTTCAGCTGCCTCCAGCAATGGCCTTCCCTAAGTACCTAAAACTGAAGTCTGGTGCTATTAGTCTGTACTGCCTACTGCCTGCTCCCCATCCCACCCTGCTGCTCATTACAGACCTGGCTCAGGGTCACCCCCACACTGCTTTTGAATTCCTAGTGATGTCCCAGCCAGGTAGATGACCCTTCAGTAACCCTGTCTCAGCTCACTGACTTCTCCCAAGACTTTAATTATCCTCCTGGCCTCCGCCATTCACTCCCATGAACACATCCTGGCTCTCACCATTATACTGGTGCCCTCTATGACCTCAATTCCAGGAATCCCAGGCTGACCTCTGCCTTCCTACTTCATGGCTAAATCCTGATTGCAACAATTCTAAACACAAGGACCTACAATCCACTGGCTCTACTACCTTTTTACTGTCCTTCAACCCCCCTCATGTCCTCAGTTCCTCATCCAGCTTAGATTCTTTTAAGTTACCCCCTCACTGTCAGCCCATTTTACTCACCTGGTAAACCCCCACAAACTGAACTCTGAATCACACTCTATCTCACCACTTAACGTTGAGTGTGGATGGAGAAAAACAACTCTGCTGGCTGGTCCCAATTCATAACTTGACCTCAGAGGTGGTCTCCAGCAAATGTACTTCCATCCATCGACCCACTAACTAGAGGGTATCTCCTACCTTGGCCCTCTTCTCCAACCTCCAGCATCATCTTTCACTTTACTTTCAGCGGACACCCATACTATTTCAGTAAGAAAATAGAAGAAAACTTTCGTGTGCTTCTACCACCACATCCAATAGCCCAACACCTTCCAAGTGCATGAACTCATCTTCCAGAGCCCATCCTCTTGAACCTGAACACAGATGTCACTAGCCATTGCCCCCTCTCCTGTATCATCAATTGTCTCCTTTCTGTTGGATCATTGCCATTAGCTTCCAGTAGCTCTCACTTAAAAAAATAGTAACCTCCTTTTATACATCCTTCTCCAGCTCCTCTCTGTTCCCCCTTACGGTCCAACAGATTTACCCTTTGTTTGCTGTATTCAATTCTGTCTTATATCCAGTACAGACTTCATCTTACTGTTCTACTAAAACTGTTTCTGTTAAGACCTCCAAGTTACTAAAGGCTGACTACTACTTCGTCCTCAGCTTTTGTGAGCTATCCACAGCGTGACTTTCCTCATCCCTACTTTTTAAAGTGCTGGCTTACGTATATCCAGTACAGACTTCATCTTACTGTTCTACTAAAACTGTTTCTGTTAAGACCTCCAAGTTACTAAAGGCTGACTACTACTTCGTCCTCAGCTTTTGTGAGCTATCCACAGCGTGACTTTCCTCATCCCTACTTTTTAAAGTGCTGGCTTACGTGCCTCCTGGACATTCTCATCTCTTGGTGTTCCTCCTACCCCAGTGGCCACTTAGACTCCTTTGCTGGATCCTCCTCAACTCGCCAACTGGCACATGGCCACATCTCCAAGGCGGCAGCAGCACTGCAGCTGAACTTGTTCCTCACCTCATCCCCCGACTGTCTTGTCAACAAAGCAGCCGAACTGATCGTTCTAAAACAAGTCAAAACATGCTCAACTTCATTAATACTAAGGAAAATGAAACTACTGAAATACCATTTCACCCAGAATCTTCACAAAATCCAAAAGTTTAACCACACATTGTCAAAATTGGAGAAACAGGCCCTGTCATACCATTCCTATGGAAGGTAATTTGGCAATATAGTCACCCTTTGATTCAATCCCATTTCTGCTAACCTTACATCTATACCCTAAAATGTACAAAATAATATAAAAGATTATTCATAATAGTTCATAAGTTCCTTACCCAGCTTAGATTCTAAGTTCACCCAGCATACTTGATAAGTTCAAATGACTGGAAATAACCCAAGTGTCCATCACTTTCGGAGTGGTTAAATTAGTATGATACATCTGCAACCACACGGTGAGTATTATACATCAGTTAAAAAAAAATCAGTACTGATACTTCAAGGTATATACTGTGTGAAAAACACAAGGTATAAAACAATATGCTACCTTTGGTGTGAGAAAGGGGAAAATAAGATTTAAAAATGTGTATTTCTGCTTGTATTTACATAGAGAAACTTTGGAAGGATGCCCCAAAAACAAAAAAAGTAAAAAGTAGTACAAATATTTTACAAAGCATGCTTGAGGTACAGGAACTCAGTGGCTAAGGACAGGTGGAAACCAGAACTCACCGTAGTCCTTTTTATATGTCATTTTTATTTGAACCATGGGCAAAATTGCCTATTCAATTCTTAAAAAATGAACATGAAAATAAATGAATGCAACCTAAGCTAGGTCATGTCATTCCTTTGCTCAAAATCTATGGCTTCTAATCAAAGTGCTGCCTCATCTCCTACCGCGCTCTGCCTCACTGCTGCTCCTGAGCACACAGCAAACTCCTGCCCCAGACCTCCATACTCCCACCAGGAGCACTTCCTGAGGACACCCGCTGGGCCCCCTCCCTCCCTTCAGGTCTCTCTAGGTCACCTTAACAGGGAGACCTCCACTACCCCACAGCAAGCAGGAACCTCATGCCCTCCTCTGCTTTACTTTTTTCTACATGGCATCACTCTTGATAATACATATTTGTTCAATGTCTCCCCCTTCTCAACCTTGAAATAGCTTTATGGTAACAGGGACTGTTGTCTGCTGTATTGCCTGCACCTCATCTAGAACAATACCAGTCATGCAGTGGCTCAGTAAGCATTTGCTGAATTAATGTGCTTCTTAAATCCCCATAACCACCATCTAAGGATGATACTATTATTACTCTCATTTTACAGCTAAGGAGACTGAGGCAGAAAAGCTGAGAAAGAAGAGCCAAGATTGAAATATATGCGTGTTCAGTGAACTACTCCCGACTTTTGGTGGGTAGGGAGGGAAATCTGGACGTACTCCATCCAGAAAATAACAGTATCTGCTAAGATGGGAAAGACGGGGAACAGGTGAGAGGAGAGCATTCATTACTTGCCTTTTTATATCTTTTGAAGATTGAACCTTGTGAATATTGTCTATTCACAAAGTAAATATTCAAAATAATGAAACTCAAATGTCAGCAACCCAGATTGTCCTTCAACAGGTGAAAGGTTAGAAACAAATCCTAGTACACACATACCGTGGAGTACCACTCAGCAATAAAAAGGAACGGATGGCTGACTGGTGCAATGACACGGCTGACTCTCCAGAGAATTGTGCTGAGCAAAAAAAGCCCAATCCGGGTCACGTACTATATGATTCCATTTGTGTTAACACTCGAAATGACAAGGCAATAGAAATGAGAACAGATGATTAGTGTTTGTCAGGTTAAGGAGGTGTGACCATAAAAGGCTAACATGAGGGGCCCCTGCAGGGATGAAATGTTTGGTGTCTCAGCTGTAATACTGTACTATAGTTTTGCACAATGTTAGCACTGGGGAAAAAACTGGATATTTGTATTATATCTTAAAACTGCATGTGAATCCATAATTATCTCAAAAAGTTTAACATAAAAATAAAATATAAAAGTCTAGGTTAAGAACATCAAGCCAGTGTTGTCAGGAGTACATTATATGGTTCCCTAGGTGATGAGCCAGCCATGTGGAAATCTGGAGAAAGACCTATGATAAGAGAGTTCCAGGCAGGGGGACTAGCAATTGAGGATGACTTAATAGGGGAACAGAATTACCATGTTGGAAAAACAGAAAGACCAGTGACACCGGGTTCCAGTGACAGAGGAACAACAGAAAAGATAGGTAAGATGAAGAGGCATGAGCAGATCATGTAAGACTTTACAGACCAGCATAAAGATCTTATTTTAAGTGGTAAATAGGTAGAATCTGGTAATTTGTTTTTTTGTTTTGTTTTTTTTTTAGTAAGGCTGAAGACAAGAATCCTACTTAGCCAAGGAGACAATAAGGAGCCCTAGGAAACAGTGATCTCAAACAGTATGAAATGAATTATGTAGTACCTGAGACAGGGAATCATTAAAATTCAACTTGGACATGGCAACAAGCAAAGCAGAAAGTCAAATGCTAGCCCTGATTGAACTCAGGTTTGTATTTCTGGGGCTAAGAAAAGAGCACAGATACTGGAAATACAATGCAATGCGTTTAAAACATTCTAACTGCCTAAAAGTCCACAATGCAATTTAAATAGTATTATTCATAGCTGGCATTTTTAACATAGCCATTTACCTCTTTTTTGTCTTTGAACTTATCAATTTCTTTCTTCAGAAGCTCCACTCTTTGAAAGGACTCAAGGTTATTCACACTGTACACAAGAACAAAGCCATCAGCAAATGAAAAATAATGCTTTGGCAGCTCCACGCCTTCCTGTAGGCCTCTAGTATCATAAAGGTGTAACTGTTCCTTTACTCCCCGATCTGTTTCCACTGAGGCCATGTACACATCTTCCAGTGTTTCACAGTCTTCCATTCCTGGGATTAAGAAGAAATTACTCTTATACATACACACACACACACACACATATATATATATAAATAGTGGGTCACTACTTTGTATCCCTGAAACTAATAATGTTATATCAATTACACCTCAATTTAAAAAAAAATTACTTTTTTGGATAACTACTAAGTTGTTTTTTTCTTGTCCTTTAGAAGCTGGCTTTCTAGTTTCCCTTTTACTACATCCATTTCCCTACTTACTACATGTAAGAATTGTATTTTCATTTACTATTTTAAAATGAAAGGCAGTTATAGTAAATGAATATAGAAATAAAAATTTGGCAATGAGATTTACTATTACATACTTTGAAGAAGTAACTCTTAACAAGAGTCAAAGAACTCAATACCTAGATTGTAGAATTAAAGGCTGATTTTAAAAGTAGCTTCAACAACTAAATGGCCCCATTTTCTTCTCCTTCAGAGCCAAGGACAGGACCTGGGGTAAATTTGCTTTCTTTCTGTACAACTTCCATTACTTTCATGGTCTGTTTAAAGACTTCAAAAACTTACATGTCCAGTCTGGGCCTGAGCACAAAGCCTTAATTCCCAAGTACCTAATGGGCACTTTTATGTGAATGTCCTGCCAAGTACTTCAAACTAACAAAACTTGTGATCTTTCCTCCCCACACATGTTCCTCCTCCTTGATCACCATCCACCTGGGCAGTTTTCAGAGGTCTCTTTGAAGAAGGAAAGTGTGGGTGAAAGTTAGCATATATCAGCTACTCTACTGTTAAAACATCTGCTTGGTTATCTTCCCCTGAACTACTGCAATAGATCAGTAAACACCTGGTAAACACCTCATATTCTTTCCAGACTCTACTGCAATACCAATTTTGTGTATCCTCTTCTGATAATCCCCTTCCCTCTTTTCTACTCTTTCTGTGCCTAGTACTTAACAATTAAAATCTTTCTATATTTATCTCTCCCCTCCAAAGCTGAAATGTAAACTCCTTGAAAAACGAGCATTGTAGCTTATCTGTCTTCTAGCAATGACCACTAAAAATTGACTGACACACATAAGAAGTCCTTAACAAATGTTTGCTGAATGAATGAATGAGCTAATAACTGCCCCAACTTCAGTGATCTTCTTGTCTGAGTGATCCTTTTAAAATACATTTTACTCTTCTCTATTTTTGCAGGTTTGTCTCCAACTAGTCTATAACTTCCTTGAGAGAAACAAACCACTCTGTGTCCACAGCAAGTACTCAATAATCATTTGTTGATAAGGGGGTTAATGGAAGAAAATTAACACTGAATTTTAATAAATAGTGAGAGGCATGATAAGACAGGTATGGTATGGCCCCAGTAACCATATTCATATTTAAATATAAGCTATATCCAGTACATTCATATGGATAATATCCTATACCATAAAACAAACTATATTAATAGGTCTCTGAAAACTTACTAGAGTTTTCCTAAACAACCTAAATACTGTAGAAATATTTGTTAAAGGTGCCTTATAGAAATGTCTATAAATATTAAGTCTCCATAAAGTACTAGATTAAAAGGGATAATCATGTAATGATAAATAGACTGGATCACAAGAAACCAAAAATTTACTTTCATCAGCATAATTCTTTACATTAAGGAATTCAGTGTTTAGTAGGGGAAAATTATTCATAGATTTGACTATGGTATCATTCTGTCACAAATTAAGCTACCTTAAGGAAACTTAAAGGCTATTAAAATAAGATACTAACTTACTGGGCTTTGAATGTAAAGGCAAAAACTACCAAGACTTTTGTCCTGGTGGATGTTTTATCTACCCAAAGCCAGTCTGGTTCTCCTCCTCCCCTTACTAACTTAGAACTTTTGAGATGTTCGTTACTCCATAAAACAACTGGAGTCGTGCCTCTTCCATCAGCCCCCTAGCTCTCCTCTCCCACTTCATGCTGCTGGGCTGCTACCCCTCCCTCAGGCCAACAGAAGATGCGGGGTGCAAACTCTGCAGAGGGTAAGAGGGAATCCTAGACAGAGGGATACAGGGTATGGGTTCCATGGTGAAAATGGGGCAATTTAGTGACATGTTCCTTCTGCTCCCAAACTTTAGCAGGCAGGCCTTTATCCTCCAGACAGAGGAATCTGGGGAATCTGGCAAGTGAAAAATGAAAAATCCTAAATATGCTAACATCTAGGGTTCCTCAACAAATGCCCAACCTAAGTCACATTATAGTGAAGCTCAAAGTCATGAATCCTATCCACATGCTTACAGCTTTCAATTAACTTTTAGTTCTCCACTCTTAATTACCAGATATCTGACAACCAATAATTACCAAGATACCTGAGGAAAAGAGACCAAAAAATCAGAAAAGATCACCTTTGAGGAAAAAAAATACACAAAGAAAACAAAAACTACCCAATATTATATTCAGAGATAAGATAGTGCATCCATGAGGTAAAAACATACTAAGAAGTGAAAACCCAATAGAAGGGTTGGAAAATTAAAGATGAAAAAACTCCCAAATAGTGGAAAATACTGAGAGATGGAAAACAAGAGAGTGAAGATTTAAAAAACGAAATTAGAGGACTAGTCCAGAAGGTCTAACATTCAAAAGGAAGTTCCAGAAAGAGAGAACATAAAGGTAGGAAACATCAACAAAATAATTCAGAACCAAAGAACATACGTTTCCATCACTGAACAAGTCCACTGAGTGCCCTGGACAAAATGACTAACTCTGTGATACACCACTGTGAAATTTCAGAGCACTGGGAACAAAGAAGAGACTCCAAGAGCTTCCACAAAGTATCAAGAATCATAATGGCTCCCAGCTTCTAAAAGCAACAATAGAAGAACATAATAGAATTTGATAAATGATAACACTCATCCTCTATGAACCAGCAACTTCACTCCTAGATACATACCTCAGAACTTGTCCACATAATTACTGGACAAATGTGTAAGACTGTTTGCAGCAGCATTATTTCTAATAGCCCCAAACTGGAAACAACCCAAATGTGCATTAAGACATTAAGACAGAAGAGACAAATAAAATGAAGTATATTTTCATTTTATGAAGGAAATGAAAATTAAACCACAGCTACCTATCAAGAATCCTACGAAGATAAGATTGAAAGAAGCCAGACACTGAAGAATTTATACAGTATGATTCCATTGATATAAGGTAACAGGCAAGAAATAAACTATATTATTTAGTGATTCATACATAGGTGACAAAACTACAAAGCAAAAAGGGGTTAATTAAAGCAAAAGTCAAGGGAAGGGTTGAGCTGTGACTGGAGAGAACATGGGGAGCTACTAGAGTGCCTTCAATGTTCTATTTTTTTTACCTGTATGGAGAATACACAAAGATTTGTTTTATAATTATTCATTAAATCATACATCCATTTTATGTTTTATGTACTTTTCTATATATATGATGCATTTTACAATAAAAGGAGCAAGACAATGGAGCAGTGCTTTCAAAATGCTGAGGAATTATTTTTGATCTAGAATTCTATACCCATCAAAATTATAATTCAACTGTGAAAAATATATTTTCAAACACGTGAAGGCTCAAGAAATGTATCATGTACATTTTCTCAGAAAAGTATTTGAGGAGGTCCTCCATCAAAATTAACATGTAATCATAAGAAGAGGAATGTATTGGATCCAGGAAGAGAGTCTAACAAGAGTGTAAAGGGAATCACAGGGACAATAGTAAATGTCTCTATTCAGAAGCCCCATAATTACTATTATGCACCAGGCACAGAGGGCATTTTGAGGGTTGTCATTACCTGATACTCCATCTCGCTCTAAACTTTTCAACCCAAAAAAGTACTAGATGATGTGCTTCACCAAAAGAAGGTGATAAATCAAAAGAAGATGACAAGAAATCTAGGAAACAGAAAAATCAAACCCTGGGAGAAAGAGAAAGGGAAGTTCCATAGTGATAGCTGTGCAACAGGCCTGTACAAGAGGAATGAGAGGTCCTAGAAGGATATCTCTAAGAAAAAAAAAGATGATCTGACACAGCCGACCTTGTGGAAAACTGAGAAACATCTGGATGTGTGGAAGAATTATCAAAAGGTATTAACAAAACTAAAGTAACAAAACAAATATTTGGCCTCCATAAAACAGAAAGAAAAGAAATAACAGTAGACAATACTGGTAATATTCATAAACATCACTGGGTAAGGCCACCCATGCAAGATAGATCAATGAGATTTTAATGTAATAGAGCAGCAAAAGTTCACTGATGGAGTCTCAGATTCCACACTGCATTGGCCTTTAAGTAACCATCACTTGTTGAGTTGTACTGAAATACCAAAGAGGAATACCCACAATTACCTGGAAAGTCTACTAAAATACTCCTCCTACCTTTTCTAACTACATATCTGTGTGAAGCCAGATTTCCTTCACATATTTCAACTAGAACAACATATCAGAACAGATGTATAATCCAGCTGCCTTCTACTAAGCTGGATATTAGATTTTCAAAAATGTAAATCAACGCTCATCTTCTCACTAAAATATTATTTTTAAATAATGTGAAAATATTATTTTTAATACAAATGTTACCTTAGATGTAATTTTATTATTTTAATTAATATTTTTTTTATTTCTCAGTTTTAATTTCTAATCCAGTAAAAGTATCAAAAGAGTGAGCCTACATAAACAAAAGCTGTTTGGGGTTTTAAAAGAGTAAAGGGATTATTTCCCCCCCATGCATAATTTCTTTAGAATCTGGAGGTAAAAAATTAAGAACCAATAGTTAGCATGCATGTATGACAGGAGGAACTGTGAAATCAAAAAGTTGGAGACCTGCTGGCACAAGTATCATAATAAAAAACAGATATGGATTTAACCAAAATTATTAAATATTATTTTGGGCAGGTGGAAAAGAAGCAGAGCTCATCAAAATGGTTAATAAAAAGACTGAAATGTGCTCTAAGCTACTTGCCAGAGGTAAATACGTCAAAGACCTACAATTCTACTTTTCTAACAAACCTCATTTCATTCTAACCTGCCAGAGATGCTATTTTCTTCACCTCTGTTTCCTCACTAGGCACACAGTATTACACAGCATGTACTTAGTAATTACGTAACACAATGAATGAATGAATGAATGATAATCCAATTCACAAAATTAGGTCATACTGCAGCAAACAGCTGTTTCTTCCATTTTTAAAGTCTATACTGCATTACTGCAGAGTCATGTTTGAAATAAGAATGAGAAATCATTCACTGTATTTTTAAGTCAGTGATTCTATGACTGAGACCACTATTCAGTATCTAAAAACATAGGAAACCATATATACAAAGGATATAAATATACATATAAAATTTATATTTGTTTTCTTATTTGCTATAACTTTCAGCAAGCACGTTTGACTTTCAATAACAAGGATTTTGTTTTTCTCTCCCCTATTTTCCCCCACCGCAGTCTGTTGACTACTGTGACCCTTTTGGTCCCTCTGGATTACATCTCACTTCCATGCACCATCACCCACCTTTAGGTCAGCACAACCAACACAACAGACCCCTAGCAATTCCCAGGGCCTCCAGAGAACAGGGAAAAATAATCTCACCAATAGTATGATTCCCATAAAGGAGCTGCTCCAAAATTGCTGTTTTCCCCACAGATAACAAGCCACAAACCACAACTTTGCAGCCCTTTCCCATCTTCTCCCAGGATATCACTGTGAAAAGAACAGAAGATCTTTAAAATTGTATACTCTCAAACTTTATCCTTTTTCTATGTTTAAATCTCATCAGTAATACTTAAACTAGTGGGAAATTTCAAATATAATACAGAGTAAGGCCTCTCTTCCCGAGCCCCATTCCTAGACTCCCATTGTCCCCTTAGAGTGTTACCAGTTTCTTATATAACTTTAGGGAGATAATCTAGATAAATGTAAAAATACATGTAGATAAAAATAGATGTTTGTTTTCAAAAAGAAACATTTTATATAAAGACTTTCAATATGAATTAAGTCTGTAGGAATCTTAATTGAATCCTAGATGAAATCAGTCTTTGAAAGAGACTGCCTGTTCATCAAAATTTACCTGGAAAAAGTAACGTTTAAGTAAAAATTTAAGAAGGTATGAAATTAAAAATTTGGATAAACAATGGACACAGTTTTTTAAAGAAACATTAATGCTATTAATGCTACTGCTAGTCTTAGGGGCATGAGAAATGGGATTCTGATAGTCCCACAGGCTCTTTTAGTCATACTTTGAGTCATACTTCTTAGTGCTAGAGAAATTGCTCAGGCAAAACTAGAAAGAAAAGGAAAATTCATCTCTCCCAGTTCCCTAACAAATCCAAGGAAGAGCAAGATCAGGTAAAATTTTCTTCAGTTTTCCTCAAAGCTGTTATTTTCCAGAAGGCAGGGTACCAGAACCAGCCAAGGCAGAAAGGGAAAGGCGGCTCATTAAATACAGCAGAATAACTTGGTAAGAGAATTTCATTTTACACATTGCGTGCGTGCGTGCGTGCGTGCGTGTGTGTGTGTGTCTTTATCCCTTTCACCTATTTCACCCACCCACCCCATGGTAACCACCAGTTCCCTCTCAGTGTCTGTAAGTCTATTTGTTGATTTTGTTCTGTTCTGAGGTTCCACATATAAATGAAATCATATGGAATCTCTCTTTTTCTGCCTGACTTATTCATTTAGCATAATATTCTCAGCTCCATCCATGTTGTTACAAATGACAAGATTTCTTTCTTTCTCACGGCTGAATAATATTCCAGTGTATATATGTACCACATCTTCTTTATCCATTTATCTATTGACAGATACTTTGGTTGCTTCCATATCTTGGCTATTGTAAATAATGTGGCAATAAACATAGGAGTGCATATATCTTTTCAAATCAGTGATTTTGTTAAGTTCGTTGGGTAAATTCCCAGAAGTGGAATTGTTGGGTCATATGGTATCTCTATTTTTAGTTTTTTTGAGGAACCTCCAAACTGTGATTTCCACATTGTCTTTTGCCATCTCTTACCACCTCATTTCCCCTAATTCTCTTCTTACCTAGAATGTAGAATATTGAATAACTCTAAGAGGGATGCCAAAGGCTTGAAATCAAAGAACAACAACAAGAATATTCAAATAAGCATTCATGTAAAAGGGATGTTGGTAACTTTTCTGAGTATGCATGTGTGTTGTACATGATGATTTTTCTTACCTACATCAACATTAACCAATAAATGAACTTTTCGTAAGTTGTCTCTATTTTCTAAAGTCTGCAGTTTTTTTATGATGCAAATTAGCCACAACACTAACCACTGACAGGAAAAACTTTAATGCTACCACTATTACAGCACAGTAATAGCAGCACTCATTTCCAGAGCAGCACACTACATCTTTTTTTTTTTGGTATCATTAATCTACAATTACATGAAGAACATTATGTTTACTAGGCTCCCCCCTTCACCAAGTCCCCCCAACATACCCCTTCACAGTCACTGTCCATCAGCATAGTAAGATGCTGTAAAATCACTACTTGTCTTCTCTGTGTTGCACAGCCCTCCCCGTGCCCCCCCCCACTATGCATGCTAATCGTAATGCCCCCTTTCTTTTTCCCCACCCTTATCCCTCCCTTCCCATCCATCCTCTCCAGTCCCTTTCCCTTTGGTAACTGTTAGTTCATTCTT